CGCTACCTCGAAAGGCTGCCAAACCACCATCCCTTCTTTCTCTATGCGAACCATAATTTTCATTGCTCATTCAAACCTTTGTAACATAGCTAAATTAAAGGCACCACCGGATTGCATAGCCACCAAAGATGATAAGAACACACCACCAGGATAGTGTGAATTAATGGCTAGAATCCTGGAAGGCGAAATCTTCAAAACTTGACTTGTCGATCGTAGATTCGGCACTCAAACCCTTATATGATCCCCTCACGCTCTCCAAATCGAACCGCGTCTCGCCGTTATACATGAATGACACCACCAAAAAACCGCAGCTTATGGCGGTGATGTGATTCCGGCGGAATCAACCATGGTGATGCAATTCCGGCAAGGCTAAAAAGACCATCGGTTGAGAAAGATTTCTCTATTAAATTTTTTTTTTTTAATTATTAGTGTCGTTTCTCTGATGATGGAGATGACGATGCCGATGCTTATTTGACATAGTTGTATAACAAAATTTTAAGAAATTCGATATATATATATATATATATAGATATCAATCCATCATCTGGCTTAAAATCAGGGATCCAAGCTTCATTGATTGATCAAATCAATGAATGGAGAATTGAGAAAACATGAGTTGTAATATTTGTGGTCATCGGAGTCTGCCTGGTAGTCGTTGCAAGGATTTTTCACACAAAAAAAGAAAAAGAAAAAAGGTTGTAGAGATATTTGGTCTTTGCTCAGTTATGGCGTGAATGAGGAAGGAGGAGGAACTATCGATCGTGGACATAGCATTTTTCAAGAGAATTGTTGATGCGAGGAAGGCTTGAGGTGTGAAAGCCCCAACCTTAGCGAGCGCGATAATCACCTACACTGAGAGATCACTTCGTGAACTCGTGTGAGACAACTTCGGGAGCGGTAACTTCGACGTCAGATCCCGGCTACTCAAACGTTAGAATCTGGCAGCAAGAGCTACTCTAATCGATCGGTCACGTCAATAGTTAAAGACTAAAAATAAGTCGTTTTATAGTAAGGGTGAGGGGGCATTGTGGTTTTCTAACTTCATAAAGGGTTGTATAGTCATTTAAAAATTTTTGGCCTGTCACGTGACCGTTATGTGCTTCTTCACGGTCAAATTCAACCGACTAATCACCGGACCGGGGTTTATTGCAACAAACATGTTAGTTCAGGGGGTTATTTGCCAAATTATTAGATCAGGGGGGTTTTCTGCTAAATGGCTAATAGTTGAAGGGGTTTTTTTTTGCACTTTACCCTTAATTTTATACTAAAGAATCAGAAGTAATGTTACAATGCCAAGAATTAGATTAGTTAATGTTATAATGCCAAGATCTATATTAAAGAATCAGATTAATGCTCAGCCTCCCCAATCACCTCCATCTCTATTCTCTCGACTCTGAACTTGCCCTCTCTCTCTCTGCAACTGTAAACTGCAAAATTTACAAGAATTAGAAGTTCAAAACCCATATATTTCAGATCTGTCTGCAAGAATCAAAAGTTCAAAACCCATATCGGCATATCATTTCAGATTGTTCAAAAAATCAAAACCCATATATTTCAGATCTGTCTGCAAGAATCAAAAGTTCAAAACCCATATCGGCATATCATTTCACATTGTTCAAAAAATCAAAACCCATATCTTTCAGTTTCCATCGCCCGCTATTCCAGTTCGGGTTTGCAAGCTTCAACCGCTGTCTCTCAACTCTCAAGCTTGCCCCTCTCTCTTTCTGCAATTGCTAAACTTGTCCTCTCTCTCTCTCCAACTGTAAACTACAAAATCTACAAGAATCAGAAGTTCAAAACCCATATATTTTAGATCTATCTACAAGAATCAAAAGTTCAAAACCCATATCGGCAATTCGGCATATCATTTCAGATTGTTTAGGCAATCAAAACCCATATCTTTTTATTTCCATCGCCTGCTGCTCTAGTTCGGGTTTGCAAGCTTCAGCCGCTGTCTCTCAACTCATGGTTAATGGTTCTCATGGAACCGGTTCAGTTCTAATCTATATGGTTCCGGTTCGGTTCCGTTTTTTAGGAACCGTTATGAACGGTTCGGGTTCCAATTGGACCGTAAGAAACTGAACCGTGTGCACCCCTACTATCCAGGTACACACATATACACACAGTTACACACACATACACACATTATGTATTTATGCATTTCAATACACGCAGTTGGAAATTAAAAACTAAATTTATGATATACACACACACGCTCATATTACTGTGTAAATATGCATAGATTACACATCGATGTATACACACATATCTCCTTTATATACACACAGATATTATAACTAAGTTCAATTTTTATTTGCTTGTATATATTAGTTTATTTCTTATTCTACACTAGCATGAAACATTCTCTTTGTTTTTGAATTTTCCTTTAGGTTAATGTATTGATTTCTCCTGACTTTATAATACATATATATATGCACACATATATACATTACATGTAATTTTGCATTGATTTTATGTCTTATTAGGTGTTGGTTAGGATCATCATTTTCCTTGCCCATAGTTGTTAAAGGCGCCAGAGGCGCAAGGCGCTTCCAGGCGCCATGTTTGCGCCTCGGGTACACTTAAGGCGTCTGTGTTAAGAGAGGCGTGCGCCTTTCTGACCAAGGCGCCAGGTTACAGGCACTATAAAGGCGCGCCTGCATGAAACTGTGGTTTTTTTTACTTTTTTTCGCTATTTTTTTTTTTGTTTGTTTATTGTCTATGACTCTGTGTAAGTGTGTATTGTTATATTATTGTATTCTATAATTTTATTACTTAATATAGTAGAAAGCTCAAAGCCGAAAGCCTTGCAAAAAAAAAAAAAAAAAAAAGAAGCAAAGGAAAGAAGAAGATAGAGGCAGCGAAGGCAATACAGTGCTCACTCGGACTCTCGGATTTGCGTCGCGCCGTCGGCAAACACTCAACAGGTAAGTTCTCCTTCTTTTCTTCTTCTTCTCTCCTCCTTCTCTTCTCAGATCTGCCGGATCTGTCAAATTTTTTTTTTTTTTCTTCTTTTCTTCTTCTTCTTCTTTTCTTCTCTCGACTCTCGGCTCTTTCTTGCCAGATTTATATCATTTATTTTTATTTTTCTTCTTCTTTTTATTTATTTGTTTTCCTGCAATTTTATTCTTCTTTTTCTTTTTTTCTTTTTTTCTTCTTTTTCTCTCGAGTCTCGGCTCTCTCCTGAGTCTTGGCAGATTTGTTTTTTTTTTTTTTATTATTTTTTTTCTCTCTCAAAGGCTCGCGCAAATTTCAACAATATTTTCTTATATTAAAATTTGATTCTGGGACACAATTAATTAAAAATCAGTAATGGATCCTTGGGTTAGTCCGACGTAATGGATCCCCTTAGTGTCAGTCCAAACATCTTTGTCCAACGTAATGGTGTCTTTCAATGTTTTATTTATTTATTTATTTTTTTTTGTCTTCTTCTTTTTATTTATTTTTTCTTTCTCCAGTTTTTTTCGTCTTTTTCTTTTCTTTTTTTTTTTTTTTTTCTTCTTTTCTTCTTCTTCTCTATAAAATCTCAAAGGCTCGCGCACAAAATTTGATTCTGGGACACAATTAATTAAAAATCAGTAATGGATCCCCTTAGTGTCAGTCCAAACATCTTTGTCCAACGTAATGGTGTCTTTCAATGGTATTTTTTTTTTTTTTTTTTTCTTTCTATTCTTCTTCTCGGCTCTCTGTGCTTCTGCTCTTCAGAGTTCAGCCTCTTCTTTTATTTATTTATTTTTATTTTTTTATAATCTGTGCTGCTGGAATAAATTGTAGTATACAATTCTATGCTGCTGGAATAAATTGTAGTATGCACATCAGTTGGTATATGGTATCATGCAGTCCATATATGCATATATATTACATCTCGTATAATAGATAAATCTCATATAGTATATGCAAGTAATAAGTGAATGTATATAAATGTATGAACATGTTATGCAGTCCATATATGATGTTTATGTTTGTTTGTTTTAGTTTTAATATGTTTGATTATTCACTGTTGAACTCAAGTACTTGATTTACTTGGTTTTGCAATCTTTATGTTGAATATTTAACTTAAGTAATTCATTTAGTTGACTTTTACATCTTTATATATACTATTACATCTTTAATATTTTATTGGGTGGGTTTTGTTTTTTTTTTTTTTTTTTCAATGTGCGCCTTACTTCAGTCGGGCGCGCACCTCACCTTGCGCCTTGCGCCTCAGGCTCCAAGAGGCATTTGCGTTTTTGTGGGCCTTGAGCCTTTAACAACTATGTCCTTGCCCGACTTCTCTTCGTTTTGGAATGGTCTTCTGTTTGATATTGTAATTGTAATTTGCAAATAATCATTTTATTTAGGTTTTTTTTTATATTAAATTGTTTGTTTTTCAAAATCTTAGATGCTAATCTTGCATCTGGTGCATCTCGTGTTCGTGCTTTGATCCCATGCTTATCCGGTATCAACTTTATATAATTTGATTTGATTTGAATTCGTCATCTTAATTAAGCATACGCTAATTATCTTGTTTTTATATCAGTTCGGTCATCTCGATTGATACTAGTAGCAACCAAAACTAGTTCGGAAGTAGAAGTGGTGGTGGCAACGGGAGGATATGGCCCCCCAGGCAAAAGGGGCGGCATTGGCATTGGCAGCAAGGATGGATGTAGGGGTGACCTCTGATGATGGGCTTGAGCCCACTCCCTAAAAAAAAAAATTAGTTCAACAAAAAAAAAAATTATTAATATAATTAGCTCACCCAATCAAGCCCAAGTCAACACAGCCACTATACTCAAATGAAGGCCCAAGCCAAATTAGCCCAGGATCGACCCTGACCCAAGGCAACAAAGGGGTTGCCAAGCCTCAAAATTTATACTCAAATGAAGGCCCAAGCCAAATTAGCCCAGGACCGACCCTGACCCAAGGCAACAAAGGGGTTGCCAAGCCTCAAAATTTATAGGCCCATGGCTGATGGGTCACCAAAAAAACAAAATACGGAGTATTTTTAGGGCAAATCATTTCAGCCTCCCCAATCGCCTCTATCTCTATTCTCGTTCTCGACTCTGAACTTGCCCTCTCTCTCCGTGCAACTGCAAACTACAAAATCTACAAGAACCAGCAGTTCAAAACATATATATTTCAGTTTATCTATCTGTCTGCAAGAATCAAAACCCATATCGGCATATCATTTCAGATTGTTCAAAAAATCAAAACCCATATCTTTCAGTTTCCATCGCCCGCTGTTCCAGTTCGGGTTCGCCGTTCGCAAGCTTCAGCCGCTGGCCCGCTGTCTCTCAACTCTCAAGCTTGCCCCCCTCTCTCTCTGCAACTGCTAACTCGTTTGTATGGTTTTTATTTTTTTTATTTTTTTTATTTTTTTTATTTTTAAATTAACTAATCATCGTCTGTAATTCTTGTTTTGCAAACTAAATCCTATTCGGTGAAATTTTTTATGATCTTATATATATATATATACACACACACATATATATTTTACAATATAAAGTAACAAAATTTGCATTGCATTTTGAGGTAATCACTGTAATCTACATTTTATTTCAGCAAAATAAATATATATATTTTTTATTTCTGTAACTTGTATTTATTTATTTATTTTTTGTCTCAATTATGTCTACAAGAAAAATTGAATCTGGTCATGAAAAAAGAAAAAAAAAAAAGAATCTGAATTGGATTAGAAATCTGCAGAGATTGAATCTGAAACAATTTTTATCAACATGCCAAGCTTTTTGAAGATGGAAATCTTTTCAAAACTAAAAAAAAAAAAAAATCATAACAAAAACTTTGACGAGCAAAAGTACTTAATATAGGGTAAAGCTCTAAAGTTACTTCTTGGAAATTAAAATAGTTAAAAAAGCATGCTTTTAAGTGAATTCCATAGTGTTGGAAGGGGTTTGCCATGAACTACCTCACACTCTGCTTCCACTAGTAGATTCTCAAATAGGATTAGTAAATTGGTCAAAAGAAGAGATAGGGTACTGAGTGGTGAATTGTTCAGAAATAAATTGGTAATTTTTTTTATTAAGTACCCAAATAGGATTTTCTATGCCTTAATTAGTCAATTGTATAAAGAAACATTGTCAATCTGTGTAATGCACGAAGGATATATTCAATCTTTCTCCCATATTTTTATTTTCAAATTTTGGTTTTTGATTTTCTTTTGTTATTAGAATGCAGAATATCAGGATATTGATTTGTTAATTTTGAAGATTATTCCTAAACTAATGCATTGTACTTTGTTATTGGATTAATTTAACATAAGAGTTGAGTATAATATGTTCTAATCATACCTATCCGTAATCACACCTCTTTCTACGGATAGGTGTCTAACATTTTGACTGAAAGCATAGTTGGGTTGGGTTGATACGTGATACAGATAGTACTTAGATGGTGGTGTTTTAATTATTATGAGTGAGATTGTGAAACCTCTTTCTCACAACTTGAGTGTTTTCTTATTTTTAGGGTTAGGATCGGGCCTTAACATTTAGCAAGAACAAGGGTCAAGAAACATGCCTCTTCAGTCATCAGGTAACAAACTCTTACTTTTTCTAAAATTTTAATTGGCATTTTTAGCTATTGGTTACGTTTATTTATTCATGTTTCACATACTGATTTCTTTTTTTTTTTTTTTGGTTTCTACATACATATATATCATATTGTTATGATGTGATACTCGAACAATTTATTAATGGGAATTAAAGACTTGAAAGTTTAGTTTTCAATTTCAGAATATATGTTTTACAAGTTTATTAACGCTTTTAAAACTTTTCCTCTTTTGTCTTGATAATATAGGTTCTTTTCTGAAAGAAGATAGTTGATTAGGAATGGGTGGAGTAGGGAAAAAGAAAATAGGTATGTTTTTTTTTGCCTAGCTAATTGAATTATATAAATCTCCTTACCGTTGTAGCAGTGATGTTAGTTTTAAAATGACCAATTATGATAGGAAGCCTCTTTTCAGTTTATCTTAATCAAATGTATATCTATGCAAGAAGATTACGTGATTCTAGATGACGATTCTAGATGAGGATGTTAATGTCAACATTATTAGGATGTTGATGTCAACGTTGACTCTAGCAATGATGACTGATGATGTTGATAATTTGTTAATGCACTCAAATTAAGTCAAAGCACTTAGAATTGAAGGAAATTTAGAGTTGAAGACATACTATTGAGCATAGTGTCTAATTATTTTAGTTACAAGAATCTTTGGTCACTTCACACATGATTTTTCAGTTCCTGAAATTCTGAAACAATGGTGTGTAATATGATTCATCTACTTGGGCTCTCTTCTTTTTCATCACTCTAAACCTTAATTTTATCTGTGAAAAAGAAAAAGAAAAAGAAGACTATGCATTTATCAGTTTGAGGATTGATAGAGCTTCTGAAATGTTAAAACTGAAACAGCAAAGAAGAGAGAGTCCACCAATAAGAATTACCCAACTTAGGACAAAATAAGCTCTCTGAGTGATCTTGTCTATTATGAGTGCTAAAGCCAGTTTGACTTGTGGTGGCATTTCATCAAATGTATGCTCTTTGGCTTTCATTCAGGCTTGTAAACGTGATTGTCGGATATGTTCTTGTCCCCTCTCTCGTCAGAGTATGACATCTGACTCCTGTTTTGGTTACTATTTATTGGCAAGTTGGTAAACCAGTCGACGAACGTAACCTTGCTAAGTTTGAGTTCCATTTTCCATTTGTGGAGAGAAAGATATATGGTTGGGGTCACAAAAGTGTACGACAATTGTGAACCAACGATAGGGTTGTGAGCTTTTGGCTTGTTTCATGCTTCGGATCTAGAAGTGTACAACAATGAAATGGAAAGCTCTGATGCACCCAAAGTTATAGATAGAGACAATAATTAATATTATATATTTATAACTTACTTTACTAATCTAATATGATACTACATATATCATACATACATATATATATATATGTGTTTGTAACTTTATACTTAGATATATTTTGATTTAGCCCACCCCATTGAGAAATCCTGGATCCGCCCTTGGCAACCACCACACATCCTACTGTCTATGCACAACTTCAACGTAGTTAACGCTCAACACGAAGAGCGGACAACATCTGTTCCAATGATGCCCACAATCGATTCCTACCCACAACCTTACTACACTCCCCCCCTCCCTGCATTTGCTGTGACTAGAGGTGCCTTCTTTAATTTCAAATCAACTTGGTATGCCGACTTAACCGAAAACTGCCCTTTAGAATCCCATATCCACACTTGCCTATCCTCTCCATGAGATAAGCTAATGGGGATCCTTAAAATTCTTTGCCAATCTTCCTGTAAGAAATTTTGCTGGAACCTTTTGTGCTTATATTTTTCAATGTCTCTAGTATTAACTATTAAATAAAGTAAATTATTTTATAAAATCAAATTTTTTTTTTGGAAGATGTGCTATTTAGTTTTTTATTCTATGAATAAAGAGTGGAACCAATATGCTTGCAGGGATGGATCCTGCAATTGCAATGTGCAAAGACCAATAGCAATTTGCTCATTTGGTTACACAACTTACACTAACCGTTGCTGCTTATTCTAAAATGACATATGAGAGAGCTGCAATGTCCCCTAGTCTGGCTCGCTTAATGCCGCCATTCAAGATGTTCCAATTGATGACGAAGTATTTCAATAATTACAAGACTTGTGAACACTTAAAGTAACTAAAAAATTTCTTCTTTTTTATTTTATTTTATTTTATTTTATTTTTTTTAATAGAAAATTTTGGACTCTTGTCAAGATGAATCCAATATTTCACATCGCTGAAGACTGTTACAATATGGTACGAAAGTTTAGTGAAGTTTTCAATATGGTGAATGTGTTTGTTGATGTACATTTGGACTTTGAACCCGCAAAAATGAAAAATTGGTATCAAGATCTTACCAAATCCACATCTTTCCTTACAAAAATAGGACAAGGACCGAATATTCCACTTGTTTATGTGGATGGAATATTGATACCAAGATCGTATGTGTCATCAAGATCTATTTTTACATTTCATCGCAACGCATACAAGCATTTAAGGATAAGGTAAATTTTTGGTTTCTTTTTCTATTTTTCATTTTTGGTAACATTGTATTGGTGGCCAACTTTTATCACTGTTTTCACTTAATTGACAGAATAGTACAATGGGCTTTCACTATACCATAATTGATGTTTCGAGTGAGCTATATAGAGTCTATCCGTTGTTTGGTCCAAGCTTGTTTTATGAGATGGTGTTGAAACTGCACAACCCACTTGATCCTACTAAACCAACAGATCTTAATGAGTTAGTATCTCATCTGACTAAGGGAGCCCATGCACTCGGAAAATATTCTGATTAGCGGTGGTGGAAGTAAGTGACATTTTCATGGACTATATATTGAAAACTGATCCATTATTGTGTTTTTTTTTTTTATTTAAAAAAACTTAAATGAAATTATGTAATCAAATATAGAGCTGTGATTTGGCTGGTCTTTTGGAAACATAGTTTATACTTTTGGAAATTTAGGCTCTTCTTGGATTGTTATTATAAAAACAGTTTTGTGTTTTCTAGTGACAAAAAACCCAAAACTATAAATTAGGGCTGCTTGGAACACTTTTTTGAAAACAGTTTTTTGAAAACTTAGTTACATGAGTTAAGGTATTCAGAGAACAAATAAAAGCTGTTTTGAGAGTTTTGAAAACAAGCGCTGGGAATTTAGAAAACATGGAGAACTCATGGGCTACTTAAAATGTACCGACATCCACATCTAGTATTGTCTCTCCGCACAGTCCTCACTCTCTCTCTAACAGAACATAGCTCAGCTCTCTCTCCAGATTTCTTCCTCGATTAGATCTCATCATCTTCTCTGGCTTTCTCACTAGTGTTGGGCTAGCGATCGGCCGGAAAAAGGCTCACGATCGACTTGGTTAAAGACACTCTTTCAGGTAATCCATCTCTCTCTCTCTCTCTCTCTAACATTATGTGGGTTTTCTTGGTTGGATGGATTCGATTTGTGAAATTTGTGGTGGATTTGGTTGGTTGGATGGATTTGGCTGTGGATTTGATTGTCTCATGGGTTTTTCAATTTAATGGATTTATTTTGGTTTTCTTTGTTTTGATTTTCAAATTTGGTTTTGGGTCCTCATTTGATATCTGCTAATTTCCTTTTGGTTTATTTGCTTTATCTTCATGGTCACATAAGATGATCATGATCTTGTTTATTTGTTTGATCTCATGATTTGGTTTGTTTGCTTGGGTGGTAGCATCGTTTTAAAATTGGAAAGTGAGCACTTGAATTGATATACATTTCTATATACATTCAGACAGAGATGTATATATACATTAATAAAACCAATTTTATACTATGATCTTTATACATGTGTCCTTAATGGAGAAGTATAATCTATTGTTAATTTGTTCTATCTGGGCCATCAACGTAGGAGTATAAGTAACACAACTTGATTAGTTATACCAGAAAAGATTATTATAGCAATGACTTGATTAGGCCCAACTCTTGCTAGAGCCAGGATAACATGGGAAATTTTCGAATACAGGCTATGATATGTGGAAATTTTCCAAATATAAGCTAGGATGACATGTATGAAGTAGCAAAATTCTCCTTGACAATTAATAGGCTTAGCTGAAAATATTTCATTTAGAATTTGAGTTAGTCTATATGAGAAGAACTATTAGATAATAGCTCCTGGCGACTGTAGATGATTGTGCAAGAAAATGGTGTGTTATATATATATATATATATATATATATATATATATATAGATGGCCTTTTTAAAATCAGACCATGGACTTTTCCATGGTAATTTTGTTCTTGACAATGGTGCTATATCAGGTTTTTGTGTAGATTTTGGTTTTGCGCTCATTCGTTGTCTCAGAATATATGTCTTAGTTAATGATTATATTGATTGATTTGGTACTTTCTACGTGCAGACTTAGTTGAGAGGAATGTGACTTCTTGTTTTGCTATTGCAAATTTTTGATAGAATTCTATTAAAATGTATCCCATCAGAGAAGACTTTATTATTCGCACCGATAACCAAGCAGTGAAAGATTTCCTTAGGAGTGTGCTCATTGGGTCTTTCTGTTGTTTTGAAAACAAAATATCTTTATAATGGATTTTTACTAAAAGGAGTGATGGCGAAAAATTGTAGGAAAGACCTTATAAAGTTGGTTTCGGTTGACCAATTGTGATATCAATAAATAAACTGGAATTCAAGTCTCAAACTATTTGTATAAAGTTGGTTTAGGTTGACAAAATCCATCTTTGCTTAGTTACATAAAAGAAAGTACTTTGCTTGCTTGGGCTGTCCAGATTTGCCCTCCAAGTATTGGCAAAAGTCAATATAAATCTTGTTGTCACACCCCTATTTTGTATTTCAACTTACATTTTTGTGATTCAATTATGGGTCGTCCAAAAGTCGCGTTGGAATGTTTAACCCGTTTTTGCATTAGATTGCTGCACAGGGTATTGTTTCCAGTAAATCGTTGACAGACGAGTAATAGAATCTCTCTTAAGCAGAAAGACGACAGAATAGTAACTTACTGTTCACTATATAATATTATAATATTTATACTATGCAGACCTTAAAGCATTAACAATAATTAACAGACATGTTACAACCATCTTCTTCCTCCTCTTCAGGAGTACAGGAAAACCAGGATTCAGAACTGGTAAAAAATACTGAATTAGTGGAATGGACCAATGTTCAAAATAAATTGAACAGATGGACTATCCTTCCAGTAAGTGCAAAAAACATTTACAAAATCGGAATGCTTAATTTAACTGATCTATGGACTGTCAAGACCATGGAACAGACCATGCAATTAAGCACTAAGGATACAATAATTAAATTATTG